ATATATATATACATATAGTATTTTCAGCCCAAATTAGATAACTCCTCTTTAAGTTGATTTGACTTAGCCACATAAAAGTTTTAAATTGGTAGGTGAAACAGATTTGTGATCATTCTTGAGAATTAAAACCAGGTACAGAATGGTGTGATGTATGTGTTTTTTTTTCTTAGATGAATGGCTGGTTTCAGGGATTGAACTAGATAGTGAGACCTCTAAACCACTTCTGCTAGATAGCTCACCATTCATCAGATCCAAGTGTTCATTCTATGGAAAATCAAGGCTGAGAAAAGTAAGCCCTAATTACGAGGGTAATATTCAGGGCCTGGAACATGAAGGTAATATAAAAACCAATGAACAACAGCTTAGTCATGAGAGTATTGATGATGCTTCTAATCACAGAGTATCTGAAATACCTTTCAGTCATCCTTATGGACTTGCCACACACCTTAACTCCACTCCACCTCGTAAAAATTCTCCTGTTGTTTACTCTTCAACTCCAAGAATTTATATGAATGGAAAATCTGCAGGCCAGCCTTCCTCCCGAATCAGTGGAGAAGAAGCTACAGTTACTAGTCAAGACAAACCTGGAACTAACATATATTTAACAGCACCAACAGTCAATGTTGCCGGACAGAATGTTCTCACATCAGCAGTCAGTGCCCAACATCCAGCTGTAGACTCTTGTGGCTCGCATTTAGAGAAACAAACCAGAGAATCGAAGAACACACAGCAGCAAAAGGAAAGACTTCCAGATGATGAACTCCTAACCTTAAATGCTATAAATTCTAGTTCTAAAAACAGAGAGATCTTAGGTGAGAAATGATTGTTCTAATACATTTACTACTAGTTTAAGTTATATATATGAACCAGTTAGGACTGTACATAGAGGTGTTTAAGTTATAAATATGTACCAGCTAGGACTGTACATAGAGGTGTTTAAGTTATAAATATGTACCAGCTAGGACTGTACATAGAGGTGTTTAAGTTATAAATATGTACCAGTTAGGACTGTACATAGAGGTGTTTAAGTTATAATATGTACCAGTTAGGACTGTACATAGAGGTGTTTAAGTTATAAATATGTACCAGTTAGGACTGTACGTAGAGGTGTTTAAGTTATATATATGTACCAGTTAGGACTGTACGTAGAGGTGTTTAAGTTATAAATATGTACCAGTTAGGACTGTACATAGAGGTGTTTAAGTTATAAATATGTACCAGTTAGGACTGTACGTAGAGGTGTTTAAGTTATAAATATGTACCAGTTAGGACTGTACATAGATATTTATAACTTAAACACCTAACATATTCCAGGACTGTATAAATGGTTGCTAGCTACATCCTTCTCCTGGGTGGGGAAGAGGAATGCCTTATAATTTCATAGACCCCTACTCTGATAAGTGACTAAAGCTAATGATGAATGACTAATGTTAGATGTAGAACATTGTTAAAGATAACAGTAGACAGATTATTGTTAGATGTAGAACATTGTTAAAGATAACAGTAGTTAGATTATTGTTAGATGTAAAACATTGTTAAAGATAATAATAGACAGATTATTCTTGATGTAGAACTACAAAATAATGACCAAAAACTTGAACTGACTAAAGATCATAAAAATACAAGTTATTTGTTACTTAGGTCCACACAGTTTACCAAAACATGAAACAGTAACTCGTGTCTGGGTGTTTTTAAGCACTGTTACTGTTTTAAAGTCAATCTTACTGAAAAATCTTTCTTTCCAAATATTTGCAGAAGTTCAACAATTTATTTTTAATCAACAAACTATATTGAAATGACTAAATGTTTTTCATTGAAATTCTAATATACATTTCTCTACCTAGTATATTTATTACCAAAGTTTAAAAATCATTGAAATAATTTCTTAAGGTTCAGAACATTTTTTGCTGTTTCTTCCATAATCATAAAACCTCACGTGTTTCTAACATAAATCTATCTATACTTCAGACATAATTTCTAATCAAAATACTTGTAATTGTATAGATGGGAAAATAAAACAACCAATATCTAAAGATTATTTCAGTTAATATTTCTAATAGTAATATCTAATCAAAAACAAGTTAGGTGCGATAAAAAGGTGTGGCCAAAAAGGATTTAGTGTGCGACCAAACTGGTAAACAGGACTGATAAAACAAATTACAGCAAATATTCGTTAATTAGGCTGTGTCTTTTTTTTAACATTGGCCATGATGATGGGTAAAAACAATACGTAGCAGCTAAGGTGTTTTTGATTAGATATCATGACTTTTTGTCACTACACACCAACAGACCACAGAAAATATGAAAGTGACACTCGATAGTAACCAACATTGGATTTAGGGCTGCAACCCTATTATTCAGAACAGACCTGCACTTTACAGAACTAACCAGGTTCTTTAAAATATATTGGGGTAGTTTTTCATTT